TAGGAGCTCCAGAAATACCGACGCTCAGAAACAAGGTGCTCAAAATGAAAGCAAAGTTATCAGGTCCACAAAAAGACAAGGAGTACAAAATTGTCACAGAGAACACGAAATCAGGAAACCTTTGAAAATGACAGAAAGGTAAGCTTCGTATGCAAGGTAATTAATATACGGGAGGCCTACAAAGATAAAATAATTAACAAATGACAGAGCAGGGAAGTGCGCAGATTTGAAGAGATAGAAATTATGAGCTTCGTGTTCAATGCTCTTAATAGATACATAGCCATCAAATGCTTAAAGAAGTTCAATTCACCAAGAAAGAGAAAGCATAAAGGTTATGTTGTGGAAACTGAGCTGCCATTTTTCCTCACCTATTTAATGAATCATTACCATGCACTGTATTTCATATCATAATTATTGAGAAGTTTCCATTATGTAACCATGTCAACTTCAAATCATTCAAACTATCAATTTGAAATTTAGGCTTATTTACAAATTAAGTTATGGTTCATAAATTGTCATTTATTACTTGGCACTTATAAGTTTTATAGTTCTTCTAGACAAAGGGTAAAAAAAATAATCAATCAAATGATTTACAGCAGAATTAGAATTACTGAACCAGCAAAATAGCTTATAAACATAAGAAGGGATAATAAAACCTAAAAACCAATCAATGAATGAATCTAATACATGTGGTAACCATGAGATCAAAAACATTAACTGTGAAATCAATGTTCTAGCTGCTTTTCGGTGTCTCTTACCCACCCTGGTCTTCTAATTCTCTGATAATGTAGTTTCAATCTTTTTAGTCTGTTTTCCAGCCCTCCCCCCAAAATATATTGAATCATCTTAACATTAGAGATATGAAAATAATAGAGATTTTATCAATATCCAGTTTGATTTACAACAAGCTGACACCACTTATGGAGCAGAGAGCACTTAATAATTCCTCCATTCCATCTTCATGGGCACCTGTATGCAAGGGGCAGGATCCATGAGATACTGAAGCAAATTCCTGACACAGACACCATATGGAAATTAAGCATAATAGGTTGACTGCTACCTAATATTTTCCCTGGAGAAATTAAGCAAAGCAAAGGGAAGGCACAAAAAAAAAAAAAAAAAAGAAAAAAAAAGAAAAGAAAACCCCACAGCCCCATGAAGTCAATCACAGAGAAAGTTTTGACAAGTTGAGAGTGAGTAGAAGACTTTGTAAGGAAAGAAGAAAAGAAATCAAAGAAAACAAAGATGTTTTTAGGTTATCAAGGGAAGGGAATAAAAAAGAAAATGGAGGGTGGGGAAGTGTCTGCAGAAAGTGGAGTATGGGGAGCTCTGCAACACTTAACAAATAGGATTTAACATTTATTAGTCAAATAAATATTTTGGGGGAAGTATCAGGGAAGTATACATACTAATATCATTGAAAAACATTGATTTACCCTATTAAATTTGAAGAATATGTTTTTCTTCTCAATAATAGTCGATAGCTTGATTTTCAAAATCTCATTTCATTTGGACAGTGTAAAGATATCTTCAACTATCTCAATCTACATTTGTTCAAAGAACAAAATCATCGCTGATGAACTGTCCTCAAAAACCCGACCACTTACGATAACTTTTATGGCTTTCCTAAACCATGAGTAAAATAAAGCATAAATCAAAGGGTTCATGGCTGAGTTATAATAAGCACACCAACAGCAAATCTCATAAATATAGACAGGGGTTATGAAGCCCATAAAGGCATCAATTAGTGAGTCAATACTATAAGGTAACCATGAAATCATAAATGCTGCTACTGTCACCCCCAGCGTTTTAGCTGATTTCCTCTCTCTCTTGGGCACTCTGGATTTATAACTATCTGATGATGATTCTGTATTGCCAGCAGTATTATCCATCCATTTAGCCTGTTGTCTAGCCATGAGAAAAATATTACTATAGAGAATGATCATAACGAGGGTAGGTATAAAGAAGGACAGAAAATCTATCAACACCCTGTTTTGATTTACAACTGTCTGACAACCTCCTATGTAGTTGAAGGCACTATATTCCTCCCAACCCTAGGTCCCCAAGGCTTAGGCCAGGACAGCACTGATTGAGGTAGGAAAGATAAGAGTGCTAAACCGAATGCGATTTTATAGTTTTAATCTGAATTAGGAAGAACTTATTATGGGTTTATAAGTGTTAGGAATTGAATGGAATGCAATATGATCTGCCCAGAGTGTCATTCAAGATGGGGAAGCGAGTGTCAATAGAGCAAATTTGCCTGCACTAACAGATAACATGGGAAAGTCACTTCGATGCAATTATCTCATACTATCCCAAATCTAGTGACATATTCAAAGAGCCAGGCTTCCTATCAGATGAGAGGGAAGGACGTATTTAATAACTAGAGTCCTATTTCTTCATTCTTTTCCTGAATAATTTGAATACGGCCTTCCATCCTCCTATACATTTTAAGAGATCGCCTTCAAATCTTAAAAAGTGGATAATTAAATAATTGTTTAGTAATTTTAACATATTCTTAAATTTCCTCTATTTAAGCTTTCATGTTCAAAAATAAATTTATTACTGAAGCAGTACTCTTCAAATTCTGACCACTTGATTTGTGAGTCAATATTCAGGGTTGATACTTCAAAACACTGAAAAACCATATGGCAAGATGGAGGTAATGACCAGTGAGAATGGATGCTTTTCTGACTAGCAGGGCAGGACTTGGAGATGCCCTCCATAGCCTTATATTGCTTTTTCAATTGCTGGAGAAGGCCCAGATCATTGCAATGTGCTCTGCTCTG